TAAATAAAATTAGTAATTGATTAGATTAATTAGTTTAATTTATGATTAACAAAATTAAATAACTTAAATTAAAATAAATTAATAATGTTTATTGGCCTTAATTTGAGACAATTAGATTTATTTAATTATCTTAGTTAAAGGTTAATAAATATGATTAATTAATTTTAATTAATTTTAATTAATGTTGAATTCATTATTCAATTAAATTAATTATCATAAGTAGTTAATTTGAATCTTCTATTTTCTTTAATCTTAGTAAAAAGTCAAAATTATCTCATTATTTCAATATCACCCAAAACTTTCATGATTAAGCAATTTAGTCCAAAGGTTTTAAATCTTTTCAAATCAATACTCCATATTTTTGAATTTAATCAAACCAATCCATTTAATTTTTATTTTTACTCATTGTGAATGCATGTTTTGGATTTTATCCATTTTAGTCCAAAAGTTTAAAAATGTTGTAATTTGGTCCATCCATTTTTCAAGGTTGCTTATTAAGACCTAAATATAAATATAATAAATAAGTTGACTTAAAACCTTAATGTTAAAATATGCAACCATGTTTAAACGGAGGATTGTGAGGTGCACATATGTCTTTGCTCACTCCTAACTAAACTCCTTAATCCTAATCTCTATGCAGACCTATTTTTAGATGACTTGTCACACCTTATAATTTGGAAGAGTGACAACTTTTTTTTTTATATTTTTCACACTTACTTTTTCATTATTTATTTTTCTTTCTTTTAAATTTTGAAATCTTAAGTGGTCGTCAACAACACTAATGTGTCTGCTAAAAATGTGCGTTCAAGCCATCTAGCTCTAGAGCCTCGGATGGATTCATTTGCCGTAAAGCCACTTCCACCTCTTCCCTTGAAAATACCTTAGACAATTTAAGCATCATGTCCTTTATAATTCTATTGTTGCAAAATGGGCTCACAGTTTTGAGGCTTGGTGCATATAAAAATTTCTTAAAAATAATCAATCGTTATCTGACTAATCTCTCAATAACACTTGTACACCATTTACCATGCACATCTTGCATCCCCTTAATTGCATTTCGTCTTCAACGTGTTGATGCCTTAGAGTGAAAGAAAGTGGTATTACAATCCCCTACTTTAAGCAAGCTAACTTGTGAACATTGTCACCAAAGTATTTCCTTATAATGTAAGAGCTTATTAATATCCTTCTCTAACAGTTCTCACTCCCTTACCACTACCAATCCTTCTACATTATGGAGTTTTGATAGTCACTCTTATTTCATCGTCAACTCCTTTGGTACATGGCCAAAAAACATTAATATTCCATTTTGCTAACTCTTCCACACACCCTTTAAGCTTCTAGACAATCTTAAAAGTCCCACCTCCCATACATGATGACTACCCATGCCTCACAACTTCTTCACACTCAGGATCCCTCAACCACATAGTCTTATATCTAAACATATGCTTCCATGGCATGTTGCATAGCATTTGAACTCCAATCTCAATTAACAAAGGAATATGATTAGAGACAAAGGTTTCCAAATGCACCACTCATGAAGCTAAGTATCAAGAATACCATTCCTTAGTGGAAAAAGCTTGGTCCAACCTTTCTTTTACCATTTCCTCTTCATTAGATTGAAACTACATAAATGGTGAACCTATAAATAGCAGCTCATCAAAGCCACACTCCTACACCACATAACAAAAAATATCCATTTGTCTTTGGGGTTTGTTACTACCACCCAATTTTTCAGATGATCTTAACAGTCCATTGAAATCATTTGCACAAATTCATTCCTCCAAGGCCTGATGTTTTATTGAGGTTAAAAGATCTCAACTTTCTGCTCTCTAATTTATCTCTGGATGACCATAGAACCCTACAAAACTCCATGGTTGATTAAAGTTCCCATCCATCTTTATCGAAATATGATGCTTTGACGAAGACTCCAATTAAATCTTTATATCCTGCAACCATGACAACTCTAAGCCTTTACTTTTGTCCCACATTTTCTACTATAAAATATTCATCAAAGCCCAGTCTTATCTTAATCTGATTTATCTCTGATGTCCCCCACTTAGTTTCCAAGAGAAACAACACATTTGGTCTATACTTCCACATTAAAAGAGATAAATCGTGAATAGTTTTCTCATCCCTCACCCGCTATAGTTCCATAACATACATCACATCATCAAGAAAAAAAAAAAAAACACACACACACACACACACACACACACACAAAAGAAAAAATACTCACTCTTTTTTCTTTTTTTTTTTTTAAGTACACTAAAACCCTAGCTAAGAAGTATCCTCCAAAACCCTAGAAACCTGAGGAAGATTGCTCTCTTATTAATCCAAATGGGGATTTAACAATGAAGAGAAGGGGGGGATAATATTTAATAAGGGTTTTTGAAGGGATTATCAAAAATTGACATATTAATAAGAAGAAGATTAGTTGACCATGATCCTTTGGAGAGTAGCAAGAGACAATCTTGGCTTTCGGTACAAGAGCTTTTGCTTTCCATTCAACTTTAGTGAACCTAATTTCTAATTTAGAGGGCTCAAATTTAATTATTCACCTTTTATTTTTAAAATGCCATTTAATATGCTTCTTCTTATTTTACTTTTATTTTAAAAAATAATTAGAAGATATATTAAATAAGAAGGTTTATTTAAGTAGTGATTAATTAAGAATGGTTAAAACCCCATTTTGATCCCTCTACTTTAAGAAAAAAAACATGTTACATGATAGAAATTCTAAAGTAGGACTAAAAAGGGATTAAAATAACCCTTTTTGGTCCCTCTACTTTTAAAAAAGCCTTTTTTAGTTCCTCTACTTTAGAATTTTCACTATTTAACGTGTTACATGTATAAAAAAATAATGGACGAACTATAAAGGGAATGGAAAATAAATTTTAAGGGCTAGAAAGGAGTTTTCTTAAGTAGAAGGATGAAGAAGGAACTTTTTGTTAAAATAAAAAAACCAAACGAGGTTTTAACTATTAAGAATTAACATGAAATTTGATGAATTAATTATTATTTTTTATTTTATTAAAAAAATTAAAGCTACTAAAATTAAACCCAAAAAATGCTAATTATAGCCATAAATTCAAAACAATTAACAGAAAATTTTAATATCCAATATCTAACAATACATCCACAAATTTAATATGCAAACGGATGCTTGTTTGGAAACCTTGCTCCACGTGGATAGCCAACTCACTTTCACCCAAGGGTGGCTAGTAGGTCACACAAGTCGGTTACCCAAACCCTTTAGTAGGTGAATTCAACGTAATTCTAAATTAATTAATTTTAAAATTGTAATATGTCTTAGTTTTGTATTATTTTATTATTATTTAAAATTTTTTAAACGTTAAGGACGAAACTCAAACTCTACACTAACAAACTAATAAAAGAAGTTCTAACAAGAGAAGAGTGACTAGTAAGCTAAAAGGACATTCTCTTCTATTTAAACCTTTTAGTAGGTGAAAGAGTAAAGTTTTTCCTCCAAGTTTTTCAAAGAATGATGACTCTGACATTTGCTTCTTTAATGTTCATTAACTAATTATTTATATGGTTTGAATAGTATGACAAGTGAGAAATTTTGTCGATGCACCAGGTTGGAAGTGTCAGGTCAAGAATGCGTTTGAAATTATTTTGAGGTGATATAATTATAATTATAAATGTGATTACATTTATATTAAATTGTATTTTATTATAATTATAATTGAAGGTTATTTTAATATTTTATTGTTTATTTATTAAAAATATTATAAGTAATATATGATGAATTTTATTAATTATTAATTAAAATTTTAAAAAATAATTATTTAAATAGACAATATTTACTACTTAATAATTTAATTTTTTAAGTTTTAAATGTTGGATATTTTTTTGGATTTTGAGAGCATCCCATAAAGAAAAAATAAGTTTTTAATTTTTTATGGAATTTCTAAATAAGCAAGATGTTAAATTTAAATAAAGTATTATAAATTATGGTATAGTTAAATTAATTGATGTTAGATTTTAATAGGTAATTTTGTAATTGTATTAAATATTAAGTATTGTCTATAAAAGTATAACTCAAAAACTCCAAAATGAAATTTCTCACTACAAGAGAAAGGATTTTTAGTGACAAATATTAAAATTGTCATTCTAACTCTCTACAAATGTGACAAATTTTAAAAATTAGTAACAAATATGCACATGTCCAATGATGATGAAAAAATTCACTAAAAATATATTTTGTCACTACACATGATCACAAAGAGAATATAAGTTTGTAATGAAAAAATTCATCATTACAATTTATCACAATTATAACGAATTATAACTATTTATCATAAATATCTATATGTTCAACAATGCCCAAAAAAATTCATCACTAAAAGGTTTTTCATCACTTAAAGACTATCACAAAGATGTTATAGGCTTGTGAGGATGAAATTTGTCACTAAAACTCATCACAATTGTAACACATTTTAAATATTGATCACAAATACCTATATGTGCAATGATGATGGAATAAATTATCTTTAAAAAATGGTCACAAATAGAATATAGACTTCCAATTGTAAAAGTTATCACTGCAATTTATCACAACTAAAATAGATTTCAAATATTAATAATAGATTTCACCCATTTTCACCCATATTATATTGTAATAACTAAAATTTTTTTGAAATTTTCATTCGAAATAGATAATTACTTTTTGAAGAAAAGACTTAATTGCATAATAACTTAAGTTTAGGGACTTAAGTTAAAATATTTTAAAAACTTAAGAGCAAGAAAAGTTAAAATCTTAAGCAAAAATTGAATAAATTAAAAGTTTTGGAATCAAAGTATTAATAAAGTAAAAGATTAAGGACCCTATTTAGTAGTTTGCCAATGGAGACTCGCCATGGGTTAGGTGTCGATACTACCAAGTTAGTGTCGATACTTTGCGTTAGGAATTTATGACAATTTGAAGTAGAAGTAACACGCCACCTGCTTTTTATATTTGGTATAGTATATGTTAAATATTAATATTTTTTATGTACAAAATATTATTTTAATTTAATTGTAACTAGATAATGTTAATTTTTATATTTAAATTATTAAATTTAACAAAATTTACTAATAACATAAAATGGGGTGAGAGGTTTTTGATGATGCCGATTGTAAAATTATTAAATTCAAGTAAATCATGTTCAAATGGGGTGGAGGTTTTTCAAGAAAAGAATATTTAGAATTTAAATTTATTTTAACTTACAAAAAAAGAAGATAATGTCAATTTTATATATTAAAATAATTAAATTTAACAAAATTTATCCACACAATATACATTTATAATTTCAATTTGCTCTTCTTCTTCTTTTTTTTTGATATATTCAATTTATCATTTTGTTACCAGATAATTATAATTTTTTAACAAAATTTAAAGATAACCAATATGAAATAATACACTTTAGTTTAACATTTCTATTGCAGTTAAATTTCAAGTTAGAGAATATATATAATACTAAATTAACAAATGACTTATTAGTCCAAGTGATAGGAATGCGGTTCTTTTTAAATAAGATCTCAAGTTTAAGTCTTGTAAATGAATAAATAAATCTTGAGAGAGCTTCCCCCCCTATGATATCCAACGTGACTTTATTTCTGATTAGTCAGACCCTAATGTAATTGCTAGATATTAGGAGGTAAGTACTAAAAAATATAATACTAAATTAAACACCCCTAACACCAATTACTTAAAATTTGAAAAGCCGTCAACAAGTTTAAAATATCATAAAAATGATATGAGAATATTATTTTATATATAGTTTAGTTTTGTTTAATTTATATATTGTGCCTAACCATCAATAGTCCTTATCTTTCTCTTTTAAACCTTTTATTACAATTCTCTTACAGTACACTTCGTTTCATCATCTATTTTATTTTTAAGACCATTTCTGGGTTAGATTTCAAAAGTAATGTATGCCTTATAAAAATTTGTGGGGCTAATAGAATTGAGGCTGGAAGACTTTAAGTGCATTTTGTCATGTCCACTACCATGTGTTTGTTAAATTGCCTAAGTGAGGTTGAGTTGAATTTTTTTTATCAATGTATTTATTTGGTTTTTTTGTTTTTATTTAGGTATTGTAGTATATTTTTCAGGTTGAGACATTTTTTAGGTAGAGGAAAACAATTATACTTTTAACTTTAATCTAAAGGATCAAGGTTAAATATCCTTTTTGATCCCTCTACTTTGAAAAAATACTCTCTTTTAGTCCTTATACTAAAAAAATCCCCTTTTGTATCCTTAAAATTTGAAATTCAATTCCTTTTTAATCTCTCATTAAGTTTTGCCTGATGTGGCATGTTAATTAATCGAAAAAAAAATTTTCTTTACTTAAATTACATGAAAAAATCCATCAGGTCAAAGTTGATGACATGGCCAAATTTTTTGTTTAATATAATCTTGAAAACCATTTAATCACGTAATTGCTTTTTTGTTTTTTGAGGAAAATTTAATCACGTAATTGCTATTATAATTATTTTAAAGGTTATTTTCTGATTAATAGTACTTTATTATAATTACTTATTTGCCCCCATCTTCTTTCCCCTTCTATCTTGTCCTCTCCTTCCTCCAGCCATTTTCTTTTCTTTTCTTTTCTTTTCTTTTTTTAACCTTTGCCAAATCAAACGCGACCCAAATCAAAACTGCATTCGTCGCAAACCCAAGAGCTAGGTTTGTTGTGATCCCATGCACTAATTTCATCATGAACCCAAGAGTTGGGTTCGTTGCGAACATCTCCACTAGCCATGGACAAATGAAAAACCCAAATTTCTCTTTAAACCTTCTAGCTGAAGCCATGTCAAGAACTGACGCACACATCTTGGTGTACCCATACTTGACCTCCAGCCACATCATCCCCCTTCTCGACCTTACCCCCCACTTCATCACTTGTAGCCTCACCATCACTGTCCTCATCACCTCTAGCAACCTCTCCCTTCTCAACCCACTCTTTTCCCGTCACCACTCCTTTTCCATCCAATCCTTGGTCCTCGCCGGCCTTGCCCCCCACCATAGATTATTTGCTATCATGGATGGCTTGTGTGATCTCCATTGCTTAGCAATTCTCTCTGGTTCCTATCACACCCTTCCTCACCCGTCCAAATAATCTCCGATTTCTTCCTTGGATGGACCTAAAATCTCACTTCGGAGCTGGGTATAAAACATGTTGTCTTCTCGCCCTCTAGCATTGTGAGGACAAAACCTAATGCTTTGCCATAGTTGTATGGCAATTAGAATGAGAATGCCCTTATCCAATTATTAGTCCTTACCTAATCTTCCATCTCGAAGAGACTTGCTTCGTTAGAACATAGCACGCTCATTTAATGTGGTTGCTCCATTAAGACACGTTACATATGTTCCATTAGACACATCATATCATGATTATTGTGTTAAGTAAGCCACGTGGATGCCCCATCAAGACATACAAATACTTCCACGGACTGCTCCAAAAGATAAGATGAAAAAACAAATAAAACTCTTCCTTTTGTTTTTGAAAAAGAGCGTAGACTAGATTATTGCTAATTTAAGCATTAGAGTGTCTACCCCGAGAACCACCCTTGGGGCTTTGCAGGTCAATTCAAGAAGAAGATTACAACAAGTAGGATCTTGAAGGTTTACTGCATTTACATTTGTCGCCATCTGTGGGAATCTGAACTAAAAGCCCTAGTAAAAGACTAAGATGGTTCACACATGATCGACTCAGCATGGAAGCCCGTCCCAAGGTTGTGGAAAAGGTTAGCTCCCAAATGTCAATCCTATGCCTCAGAATATGCCACTCGTTGTTACCAAGCATCAACATCTAGAGGGAATGGGAGAACATAATCCACAACATTTGGTCACTACCCCAAATGACCTTATAACTGCTCAACTTAATAACATGCAACAGCAGTTTTGGAGTATTCCAGCTAGTACTTGCACAACTGCTAGCCAAAGACAACCCCGGTGATCCCCTTCATCAATTTATTGAACCCAACTCGGCCCATATTTCCTCACCAGCCTCAACAACATGTTAACTCCCCTGTTTGGAGTATTGCCCCATCCAAAAGTCACTTCCAAGCACAATCCCACATATCATCCCCACCTTCAAACCCACCTCAGCCAGTTGCCTCAGATGTCTCCCAAATACTAGACAACCTAGAAAAGATGATAACGGAAAATAGAGTCGTACCCCCAATTCAAGTCAATTCAAGCCTTACGCCTACCCCCCTTAGCACTAACATTGTTCAGGAACCATAGCCATTAGGGTTCAAGATGCCTCAGTTCAAGATGTATGATGAGACCAAGGACCCTAACGACCACTTACACGCCTTCTACTCTATTATGCAGCCCAGCATGCTTCAAATGCCCTCATTTGCAAGATATTCCAGTCTACGTTATGTGGCATGTTCGAACTTGGTATTATAATTTGAAGTCAAGCTCAATTAATTCATATGCTGAGATGGCGACAACCTTTGCCACCAAATTCTCTAGCTGGAGGCTGATCAAGAAAACAATACCCGAGCTTATGTGGGTAATTCAGAGGGAAGGTGAATCCCTGAAAAACTATATGAATAGATTTAATGATGCTATGTTAGAAATCAATTCATTTGACCAAGCAGTGGGAATTGCCACCATCACCCAAGGCCTTGGCCATGAGCAGTTTTGAGACAATTTGATCAAGCACCCGTTTGCCACATTTGATGAGGTCAATGAAAGATCTTGCAAGTTCATTACTACCAAGGAGTATGTCTTGTTTGAGAAACCCCTACCTACCAAAGAAAGCAAAAGTCCGATGTGGAGAAAAGAAGGGCAATGCAAGAAGAAGTTCAAACCCACTTAGAATCGAGGTCCAATCTCAATTCCCAAGCCTAACAAATCCAACTCAAACACATCACAAGCATAGGCTAAATAGGCTTCATGGACCTCTTTTAAACTGTTGAGGTCACAAATTTTCATGCAAATCAAAAATAAGATAGAGCTAAAAAGCCCAATACCCATGTGAAGCCTAGTTGCCACAAGAGATCACAACAAATACTATGACTTCCATCAAACCATGGCCAGACAACAGAAGAATGCCATAGCCTGAAGTTTGAGCTGGAAGGTTTAGCCCGAAAAGGAATGTGAACTAGTACATCCAGAACAAAGATCCACAATAGTATGTTAAAGAACAAGGACAGTAGGCCTAGGGCTCTCAAACCGCAAATAATAGGGAAGGAGTGGGATATCAACAAGCACCACCACCTCTTCCACCTTCGCCAAAATCATTCATATGATAACCAGGGGGCTTGAAGTAGAAAGGCTAGCCTCCAACCAACAAAAACTATGTGTTAGAGAAGTCAAGCATCAAAACAGGGCTTACAAAAGGAAATTTGATAATGCAGAATGGAAAAACCAACCAATCACTTTCACAAATGCTAACCTCGATGGTGTGGTCATTCTTCACAACGATTTGTTGGTCACTTTAATTATTGTTAATAATTGTGAGGTGCAACATGTTTTCATTGACACTGGCAGTGCGCCTGATATCATGTATTACCATTGCTTTGAAAGTCTTGGTCTCGACTCTACTCTTTTATAGAAATATAATGGTCTCATCTATGGTTTTAACAACTAACCAGTTGCATCAAAGGTGTGCTCACACTCAACGTTGCATTTGGAAGTGGTCAAACCTATGTTACTCCTTCAATTTGTTTCTTGCTAGTCAAGATGGCTTCCTCATTCAACGTCGTCATAGGACAACCTACATTCATTGAGATCCGAGCAGCAATATCCCAGTTTCATCTATGCATGAAATTTCCCATACCCATGGACATAGCAACTCTAAAAGGCAATCAGGAGGTGGCTAGGCATTGTTAAATGACCTTGGTCACACAACCCATGAAGGAAAGAGAAGCAATCCCAACTTATGAAATCCCACAATTTCAAGCTAATGCTCCCCAACAAGTGATGGGGGTAGAGCTCATTGACAACAGACATGAGGATGTGATCCAACTCGAACAACACAGATTGGGACAAAGTTGAGCCTGAAGGAGAGAAGAGCTGATAGCTTTACTTCAAACTAACAAAGATGTTTTCACATAGACTTCTGCAGACATGCTTGGGATTCCAACTTTAGTTGCGGTGCACAAACTGAGTACTAATCCCTTCAAGAGACTAGCAGCCTAGAAGCGACGACTCTTCAAGGGCAAGAGACTAAAGACCATAAAAGATAAGGTAAAAAAACTTCTTCAAACCGGATTCATATGAAGCGTTGATTATTGTAAGTGGATTGCCAACCTTGTTTTAGTGAAGAAAGCCAACAGCAAATGGAGGATGTACATCGATTATACAAATCTCAACTAAGCCTGCCTCTAAGATTGCTACCCGATGCCAAACATAGATAAGTTGGTTGAAGCTGCCTTTGGGAACGAGCGACTCAATTTTCTAGATGCATATTATGGTTACCATTAGGTCCCCATGGCCCTTAAAGATCAAGAGAAGACCTCTTTCTATGCAGGTGATGAGATATATTGCTTTGTAATGATGCCCTTTAGATTGAAAAATGCAGGTGTCACTTACCAAAAGATGGTCACTATTGTATTCAAAGCCTAAATCAGCAAGAACCTAGAAGTCTACATCGATGATATCATGGTCAAGAGTTGCAAGGCTAAAAAACATTTGGCCAACCTTAATGAGACATTTAACAGTCTACGGAAGAATAGGATGAGGTTAAATCCTGCCAAGTGCATTTTCGGAGTGGAATCTAGGAAGTTTTTGGGGTTTATGGTGTCCAGAAGAGGGATAGAAGTCAACCCAAAAAAGATAAAAGCAATAGATGAAATGAGATCGCTAAAGTCTATCAAAGATATACAGAGATTAACCGAACGAGTAACGGCCCTCCACAGGTTTGTCTTTAAGTCAGTTGATAAATGTCTTCCATTTCTCAAAATCAGGAGGTCGATAACATAGAAGGATGAATCTGGTAAATCACAAAAGTTCGCGTGGACTCAAGAGTGATAACATGCATTGGATAAGCTTAAATCCTACCTTAGCTCCCCTCCTCTATTGACCTAGGCTGATGGTGGGGAAATCCTCTACCTCTACTTGGGAATCTCAAACAAAGCAATCAATTCAGTTCTAGTCAAGGAAGAAGGCAACTAGCACAAACCGGTATATTACACCAATAAGGTGTTGCATGGAGCTGAGCAGAATTATTCAATCAGCAAAAAGGCAACCTTCGCTGTTGTCACCTCGATTAGGAAGCTGAGACCTTACTTTTAGTATCATCCGATAATAGTGCTTATAGACCAACCTTTGCAACAAATTATACAAAAACTTGAAAGCTCTGGAAGATTGATCAAGTGGGCAGTTGAACTGGGGGAGTTTGAGATCACTTTTCAGTAGAGGATAGCCATTCCAGCTCAGGCTTTAGTAGATTTTGTAGTTGAATGCACTTCCAATCATCCAGCCCTCACCCCAGAGCTGGATACATGGATCTTATATGTTGATGGGGTATCAAACCACAAAGGATCAAGCATAGGGGTAGTATTATTCGACCCAAATGGATTTTGAAGTGAACACGCATTAAAATTCAATTTCGAAGCCACTAACAACATGACCAAGTACAAAGCGTTGATCTTAGGCTTGCAACTGGCATTAGAATTAAATGTCAAAGTCGTCCAGGTCTATAGCGACTCTCAGCTTATGGTCAACCAAGTTAACTCACTCTATGAAATCATTGAGCCCATTACGAAGAAGTATGTTGCTATTGTGTTTGAGTTAAGGTCTCGATTCCAAAAGTTCCACCTTTGTAAGATTTTAGATCAAAGAACAAGCAAGCAGATTTGCTTTCCAAGTTTGCCTTTGATGATCACCAAAGAATGAAGTCAGTTTACGTTGAAGTGCTTGATGAGTCGAGCATCCAAAAGACAAGGGTAATGGAGATCAACATCGATCTTAATACACCGAGCTGGGCTGACCCGATCAACTCTTACTTGCTAGATGGCACTGTCCCTACAAATAAGAGGGAAGAGATGAGGCTGAGAAGGAAAGTACCCCACTACACCCTTATTGACGGAATCCTTTATAAGAGATCCTTCTCATTACCTCTACTCCGATGTTTTTCTCTTTATGAGGCTAAATATGCACTTCGGGAGGTGCATGAAGGCGTCTATGGAAGCCACATTGGTGCAAGAACATTGGCTCATAAAGTCCTAAGACAAGGGTACTATTGGTCGAAAATGTTGAAAGATGCCAAGAAATTTGTTCAACAATGCTCAAAATGCCAGTTTTTCACTCATCTAACCCAATAATCGGTTGAAAAACTCACTAATGTTGTAGCACCATGGTCATTTGCTCAGTGGGGTCTTGATCTCCTGGGACCGTTCGTCAAAGGGGTGGGAGAAGTCACTCACTTGGTAATTGGAGTAGACTACTTCATGAAATGGGTTAAAGTTCGATCGTTGTTTAGCTTAACTTCCAAAAAGATTGAGGATTTTGTGTTCAACTCCATCATTTGCAGATACGGAATTCCCAATCACATTATTACAGATAATGGACCTTAGTTTAATTACACTTCTTTCAAGGACTTTTGCTCCAGTTACGGGATTAAACTACAGTTCACTTTGGTCTATCATCCAGAAGCTAATGGAATGTTGGAGTCAATTAATAAGGCAATTCTTGAAGGGATCAAACCAAAGCTAGAATAACATAAGACCAAGTGGGCAAACAAGCTTAACAATGTGCTATGGGCATATAAAACCACCAATCGAACTACCACAAGTACCTTTATCCTAAACTCTGTTAATTTAATTACCTCTAAAGTTTGTTTTTTAGCCCTAGTGTAAATATGCATAACATATAAAGCAGATCTAATTACTCACATAAATAGGTGAAACACCCTACCACTTAGCCTTTGGAACCAAAGTAGTAATCCCTTTTGAAATAGGAGTCCCAAGCTTAAGGGTCAATCATTTCAATCAAAGACGAAATGGGTGATTGCTTTGAGAAAACCTAGACCTAATTGATGAAGTCTAAGAGGAAACTTGACTTCAAACTCTATCTTACAAGCAAAAACTAGCAAACCTTTACAACGAGCGAGTTCGACACTGAATTTTCAAAATAGGTGACCTTGTACTTAAAAAAGCCAGACTTACAAGGTTCGAAACCCGCTTCGGCAAGTTGGCACCGAATTAGGAAGGCCCATGTATAGTAGTTGAGATTCCACACCCTGGTGCCTACATTTTTCAAGATTTTGAGGGCAAAAGGGTACCTAGGGTCTGGAATGTCAACAACCTCAAGAAATTTTACCCTTGAAAGTCCAAAACTTAATTCAATCCTTATGCTAAACATCATTCCCTTACTTTATTTGATGTTCTTATCAAATCTGAAATGAATTAAGTTTTATTATTCGTCTCATGTATCTTTACTTAATAGTTATACTCAAGTTTCATTTTAACCATTCAATTCTTTTCAATTCAAAACATCACAAACCATATAATCAAAACACTAAAATATAATAATTTGAATTCATTCATTAAATCAAACTGTTTACAAGCAATCACTGCTTACAAAAAAATCAAACTATTCATATGGACGAAGTAAAGGGCTACTCAGTAGGTTGGTCTAGCTCATCAGCACCTCTGCTCTCTTCATCATCCACCTCCATGAACTTAAAATCAAAGTTTGGCAAGAAAACGGTTCAACCTCTCCTGTCCCAATCCCACTTCAGTTTGATATCAGGACAAAAATTAGTAGTGCCACTCTCTTTCCTGATCCCCGAATGTGCTCTTTGTCACATCGACCTCAGGGTATTGCAATTTCACCTTTTTTCGACAATTAGTGAAGGCAACAATTGTGGTTGGGAGCAGTACAAGTTGACAATGTTCTCAAAGGTGTTGGACTTTAAGAAATTTGCTACATGCTTTTCAACAAAGTTGTGGACCTGTAGCTCCAGCTCAACCGCTGCTTTCCTCATTTCTTTCAGCTTTTTCTCTTTCTTGAGCTCATCCTCACAAATTTTCCTTTTTGGGTACGAGTTCTCCAAGTCCTTTTTGAGCATGGCATTTTAATCTTGAAGCCTTTTTAGCTCCAAGATCAAATCCACCTTCTCCTGCTCAGCCTCCTCGTTTTTCTTAACGAGCTCAACATTTCATCTCTCAATTTATTCCTTTCCTTCAGGCCATCGAAAAACTCATTTGACAAAGCGTTGATGAGTTTTAAAGCCTACACAACAGATTGAAGTTAAAAAGTAATAAATAATAAAGCACCCTCATCTTAAAACTCAAAGACAAAACTGGAATCTCATACCTTAAGGACGTGGTGCACCACACCTACCCCTTCGTGGACGGCCACCTCATCTTTAGCTCGTAAACGATCCACCTCTAAGAAGTAGGTGTTGACGAATCTCTTTGCATGCTTCTTATCCTAGACTCATAGAAGCTAGACATTGGCAGACGGACATATCCCTTCCCTTCACTATGAGGTGCAACCTTTACTTCCCGAACTGATGGTTCAACTTCAATGGGAGAACCTTTAAGGTTGAAATCTGCAACCTCTTCACTGGGTTACTATTTCTGTTCTTCCACCTTCCTCCTCTTAATAACAACTAGCTCGTCTTCCCTTGCCTTCATGACAACCTTGGCCTTCTGACTTTAGGGTTGGAAGATGATTAGGGCTCGAGCATAGGGTTGAGCTGCAAAGCTCTCACCATCTCGTCCTTCTACCACCGTAGCCTTCACTATCTTCCCCTTCTTCTTAGCGATACCAGCTCCACTAGCTACATCCAAGAATCGATTCATCTCACCTGCAAAACAAACTAAAGTTAAAACACTAATCAAAGCACTTCAATGAAATACAATATAGTTCAATAACACCTCTGCTCTACGAGCTTGGCTCGTAGATCTCAAAGGCATCCAACATTCTACGACTTATGTATTCAAAAATATCCAGTACATCTTCATCCCCCCTTGTCAACATCTTCACATCTTCACATCTTCTCATTCCCTTGGGGTCAAATTGTACTTATTCAGATTTACTCCTCTCGACTTCCACCGACTTAGATTCTCCACTTTGGCATCTATCTTGTCCCATCTGATGTCATCCACAAAAAAAAACTTATCTTTCCATCCTTTGATGGAAGACAGTCTAGCGCTAAACAACCCCTAATTCTCCTTGTTAGACACTCGGGCAATAAAGTAATATCACCCCTTCTCCCTTCCACTCCCAACCTTCAATACACAAAAGTATTTGAAGACATTCGCAGTTGGGAACGGCACCCCCAGGCTCGACTGTACACTATAAAGGCTATCACCAACCGTACAACATTTGGGACGAGATGCATCAACCCCAAATTATACTCCATCAAAACCTTGACCAACAACTCCAAAATGGGGAATCGCAGCCTAGCCATCATGTAATGAGCATAAATGGGCATCCAATGGTCCCCTGGGGTAGAGTCGGCCCTCTCTTTCCTTCTAGTTGGCCTTAACAACACATGCCCAAGCATTCATAGTTCTCAACCAAGTGCATCAGGCTACTTCTGCTTTTGAGAGACATTTCATACTCCATTACTTTAGAAACAATCTCCTCCTTAGGGTTGAAACATCCCTCCCTCTCATTATCTACCTCTAAAATAGTTTGAGGCAGCCTCACTCCTCCTCTTCCTCTTGCCCAATCATTCCCTTTTGATACCCAACACTAATCATCTCTTCTAAAGACATTTTCACTAATCAAAAGAAGAAGAAACAGAGACACTCGCAAGTTACCTGATTTCGACTGAACGAGACTGAAACAGAACAAAAGGTAGTAAATTTGGAAGCTTGTGCAATATTGCAACAAAGTAACCAAATTTTGCTTTAAGTGTGGCTATATATATCAATGCAAATATTAGATCCAACGGCCACAATTAATTCTATTCAATGGTCATGATTTTACCCTTTCGAATTCAACGCTTAACCTCTCGTTGCATCTTTTCGAATGTGACGATTACTTTTTGCAACCATATTTATTACTGTGCATCCTTCAATGACATCTATCATTTGGTATATTAACTCCTTCTATGGCTTAATGAGTGGGCCCACTTAGGCCTACTCTAAGTCCCTTCAAATACATTTTCCATCTACACTATCTAACTACCAAGTGTTCCACCTCGTACTTTCTTGGTTGCATCTTGATCGAATTTTCACCTCGGCTACAGCCAAAACACATGACCACATGTCATGCACTTTCACCTTGACTATGGCAAAAACGCCTGACCGTGTGTCATGCACTTTCACCCTGACTATGGCCAAAACGCATGACCATGTGTCATGCACTTTTGCCCTGACTACAGCCAAAATGCATGACCACGTGTCATGCATTTTTACCTTAGTTTCTTCTAAAAACAACTACAATAATCCTCTAATCATTCACAAGTGAATGACTCTCAGGGAGGAATAGTGTAAGGACAGAACCCAATGCTCTAACACAATTGTATGACAATTACAATGAGAACGCCTTTATCCAATTACTAGTCCTTACCTAATCTTTCGTCTCCAAGAGACTTGCTCTGTCAGAACATATCACGCTCATTTAATGTGATTGCTCCGTTAAGACATATTACGTTCACTTAAGACGTCTATTTCGTCAGACACATCATATCGCGATTATTGTGTTAACTAAGCCATGTGGATGCCTCATCAAGACATACAAATACTTCCATGGACTACTACAAAAGATAAGATGAAAAAACCAATAAAAACTCTTTCCTTTTGTTTCTGAAAAAAAGTGTAGACCAGATTATTACTAATTTAAGCATCAGAGTATCTACCCCAAGGAACACCCTTGGGGCTTTGCAGGTCAATTCGAAGAAAAAGATTACACCAAGAAGGATCTTGAAGGTTTATTTCATTTACAACACCTCTGGTTACTTCATAAAAGAAGCAATATGGAAAGTGTTATCCAAAAAGAAAATGCACAATGATGTCGATAGCGACGATTTAAAAAAAAAAAAAAAACTTGAATTTATGAGAAATTGATAAGAAATATAATAAAATTTTCAAATTCCATAATACCACACAAAATAAAATGATAGAGGTGGGAAGAGATTGTTCAAAAGCAAGAGAAATTAATGGCAATAAAATGATGGAGTTGGGTTCGTTGCACCCAGTACCTGGGTTCGCAACGAACCCAACTCTGATTTGGGTGGCAAACCCAGCTTTCATTTGGCAAAGGTAAAAAAATAAAAATAAAAATAAAAATCAAAACAAAAAAACTCGGAGGAAGGAGAGGATAAGACAAAAAGCGCAAGAAGGTGGGGGCAAATAAGTAATTCTAGTCAAGTATTCTTAATCACAAAATAACTTTTAAAATAATTATAATGGCAATTATGTAATTAAATGATTTTCAAGGTTATATTAGACAAAAAATTTGGCCATGTCATCAACTTTTACCGAATGCATTTTTTCACGTAATTTAAATAAAGAAAAAAATTAAGTTTTTCCATTAATTAACATGCCACATCAGTCAAAACTTAATAGAGGAACTAAAAAGGAATCGATTTCAAATTTTAGGAATTAAAAAAGAGATTTGTGTAATACAGAGATTAAAAAAAGATTTTTTTTCAAAGTAAAGGGATCAAAAAAAGTATTTATCCAAGGATCAATACTTCATTATCTGTCATGAGCACTTAGCATCCTTTTGAACATTATAGATTTCAACATACAAGACATAGTGAGGAACAAGGTGACACTTACTCATATCATGCATCTGCATAAGTTAGCTAGAAAGGTGTTTTGGTAGAAGATGATGAATTTAGAATAGACAGAAAGTCATTACAAATGATAATATGTAATTTATTCTATTTACTAATAATATTTGAGTAAAGCACATTAAAGACAAAAATAATGTGGAAATTTCAGCCAATTTATAATTTTTTTGTTTGTATGTTATCTTTTTATATTAGTTAATTATGTAATTTAACTAAATGATATATTTAAAAATTAATGATTATTAATTAATTATTTTAATTTAATATTTGTAAAACCAAAGTGTATTTTTTTATTGGAAAGTATTATTGTATTTAAACCTATTTATTATCAAAAATTTAATTTTGGTTAAAACCCATTTTTGGTCCCCGAACTATTGTACGGACCCTCGATTTGGTCCCTAAACTAAAAAAATCCCTGATTTGGTCCCTACTGTTTACCATTTTAACCCCGATTTGGTCGTTTCGTTAAATATCCGCTTACGTGTCTTGTTATTTGATGGGAAAGGATGACATGGAAGATAATAAGACCAAAAAAAATGATGACATGGAAAAAATAATAATATAAAAAAATATTATGAAAAATAAATTTTTTTT